TTTCCACTTTATTTTCGGTTTCTGGGCCACATGTGATAATGTCCTTAGCTTGGTACTGATACTGCAGTTGAAACATAATGGGAGAAAAAGTATAATGATTAATATGCATAATCAGAATGAAGATTAATAATAGGCATAATTACAATAATTTGCAAATCAGATGCCCAGATATGAGGGACTGGAATATGGCAACCCAAGGGAAAGGGGAGTAGGACCCACCATTGCACTCCCTTATTTTTCTGCACTCTGCCCCCCCCTCATAGGACACCACTGAGCACATGCACTCTATTAAATACCTTTCCACATAGCCACATAATCACCAAATGCTTTTCCAAATACCACACTCTCTACCTGCTAGCAGAAGGAAAGCAGGGAGGCAGCCAGTCTAGTTTTCTGTGGCAGAGAGGTCATGATTTGTCATCAGCAAAGGATAAAAACAGATACCTTGAGTCAGGCAGTTCTTAACATGCTTGGGCCCTCAATGGCTAACTGTGCTTTGAGCTTTCATGGACTGCAACAGCCTGCTTCAACATCAAATGCACAAGCCTTCAAAAATATCTCACTTCCTTTAAACCAATCCTCCTGAATGACACGTTGCACTACAACTTCCATTGTCCCCAGCTAACATGGCATCACTGGCAGATTATAAGTACTGTAGATGCAGTTGGAGGGCACCAAGTTCAGTCAGGTTGCATTAAGCAATGTAAGGAATGTCCTTTTATAATTGCATTATATAATTCAACTTTCTTTCAGAAAGAAAGGAGAAAACTTCTCCCTCTTTAGCCCATGATGAAAAGGTTGTTATTATTAATAATAAATCTCCACCTTTCAACATTCCTGTAAAGAGAAGAGACCTTGCCGGTCTGTTTATTTAGCAGAATCTTTCCTAGTCTTTTCCCCTGCAATTGAACTTGGCAATGTGCAATCTTATTTTTATGGAGCCTGCTCAGGAAGGTTAAAGCTATTAAAATATATTCTACAAGGGCTTCATCTCATATCATAACAGCTGCTTTAAAACTACAAATGAGGATAATAAACCACATTTCCTATACTGCTGTCTACTTGTCTGCTGATTCACCCCTAATACCACATATTCTTGCATTTGTTGTTAACTGCCCTCGAGTTGATCTCGACTCATGGTAACCCTATGGATGAGACATCTCCAAGACCCTCTGTCCTCCACTGCTCTGCCTAATTCCTGAAACCCCTTAATACCTGTGACCTCCTTAATACAGTCCATCCATCTGGCATGTGGCCTTCCTCTCTTCCTACTTCCCTCCACCTTTCACAGTATTATTGTCTTTCCCCATGAGTCCTTCCTTCTCATGATGTGCCCAAAGTACGACAGCCTCAGTTTGGTCATCTTGACTTCCAGGGAATTTTCTGGTTTGATCTGCTCTAGGACCCACTTGTTTGTCCTTTTGGCTGTCCATGGGATCCTTAGTACTCTTCTCCAGCACCACATCTCAAATGCATTGATTTTTTTCCTATCATCTTTCTTAACTGTCCAGCTCTCACATCCATACATGGTAATAGGGCTTAATCCATCTTCCAATACTTTGCAATGCATGTATTAAGACTCCTCACAGACTTGATGTTTCTATGCTTCAAATCCTATCCTTCACTCTTGAAACTGGACCCAGAGGCCCCAGAGGCCCCTTTCTCTCTTGAGAATAGCAACTTCTGGGTAGGATATTTATTTGTCAGGCAACTTGCACACCATACTCTGTTCATCTTGGGCTGCAGAGTTTGGAGATATTACTTTTTTGGATTAAAACTTCCAGAATCGCCCAGTTACTGGGATTCTCCATATTTTTCTGGGTGGCTCTACAACATTTTCCTACTAAGGATCTTCATAAGAGGAAATACATGGATCAGAATGCTTCTGCTACTCATATCATGAAAAGTTAAACTTTTCAGACTACAGTTTACAACACAACACTCCCATTCATTATGATGTAACCCTCCAATTATTCTAACTTGATGGTTCAAACTAATCTTCAGTTGTCCTACATTTTCAACTGCTTTAAAAATGTCCCAGTCTCTCTCTCCTCCTTCCACTTTCCCCAATAGTCCTCAGCTTACTTCAGTTGCTGCAAACTGAGTTCAAAGTAAAAAAAAAAGTGGTTTGCACTCAGTTAGGTCAACAGTGGAGAAAGAAGAATAGGGAGCAGAATCTTGCCATTCACAGTAGGCTCAGGCAAGAGCAAACTGCTGCAGCCTCTCCTAGCTTGTGTGTCCTTCCTCATTAATAACTTCTGCCATCTTGACCACACTCTGATGTTGCTTGGCCTCATGTGTACCGGTTTTTATCTGTGAAATGTTGGCGAATATGTCATGGCCACTGATCATGCTGCCTGGGGTATCCTAGAGTTGTAATCCAAAAAGTAACTTTTCCATGCTCTGATTTAATGCAATGAGGAGTTTCAGCCTTGGCCTGCTTATTTTCACACACAGCTGTCCTGAAAGAAGGAGCCTATTTGTTTCCATCTATAGAGATGGGATGCACCATTGAGTGTGGAGGGGTTTTCATACATACATCCTTCCTGTTACAAGGAGAAGCATTTTGACAGGATATAAAACACTCTCTGGGGTCAGTGTTAGACATGTATGGCAGTGCTCTTCTCTGCTTCCACAACAATGTGATTGTATGTCTTTCCTCTTTCGATACTGTCAGCTGCCATAGAGACACCTTTGCCTGCAGCTGGCCAAGTGGTGAAGTCAGCTGCTCCCAGCTGAGTCCAAAACACGCCTGTTTATACACTGTGCGAATGAGCCAGGAGGAAGAGCATTAAAGTGACCCATTCAAATGAAAGCTCTCCCCACCCAAAACAAATACCTGAGCTCACCACCAAGCTGGCCCAGTTCCCTGCATTTCACACATCCCGATCCTTGAAATGAAATGGCTCCCTTGCTTTGCTACCAGCATTGGCAAAACGGTGTCCATAAAACCACTGAGCTCTTCTTATCAAGGTAGGGGTTAGAGACCTTTTTCCAAAGAGATTTCATTTGGGTAAGGGCTGATTCTAAACTGCTGGGGCTCTGCTCTGAAATGTGTGAAAAAGGAAAGAATACCAATGGGCACACCCACAGAATTTCTTCTTGCACACTGTGGAAAACAACCACACACACCCTGACAGGTTCAGTAATATATCTGGCCAGTGCTGAATAATTACTGCTGAAAACATACTTCCATCAAAATAATTTTTGCCCAAACTCTTAGACTTCAATATTTTAAAAAAGCCCTCTCCTGTTACTAGCGAACCAAACTTCTCCAGCCAGTGTTGTCCGGATGTTTTGGACTACAATGCCTATCATCTCCAGCATATGTATCCAGTATCAGCTGAGTTGATGTGTGTTGTAATTCAGCAAATCTGGAAGGCAACAATTTGAAGAAGGCTGAAGGTATCTCATAGCTAGGTTTGCCAGCCATTAGACAGATTAGTTTGAGAAAGTCCTGTATAATCCCTGTTAGCTCTCCAAGTGAGCACTGTATTAGAAGAAGGGTTTTTTCCTAGTTAAAATGTCAAGGCTTTCGTTTTTTTAAAAAAAAAATGTCAAGCAATGGTGATTTACACAAGGCTAAATCCTCAAAGTCCATTTATCTGAACTTTAGTCCCATTCATTTCTGCTTAGAAAGCATGCTTAGCTCCATCTGATGTTGGGACTCTAATCTTAAACATTTATCATTGCCCTCCACACACATACATGCCTAAGCACACCAACAACTCTGTGCACCTGAAGGAGTTTCCCTGTCTTCTAGCAAAACCCTCTGCATTTCTATTTTTGATTTAAGAGAACAACCATTGCAGTGTATATATATATATATATATATATATATATATATATATATATATATATATATATATATATATATATATATATATAGCAGGAGTGGTCAACTTTCACAGCTAAATTGCTCCTGCAAAATCCACTGCGGATCACACCCTGCTGTAATGCCAACAGTGGTGCAACAAAGTGAAATTTTATTTGAAAACAAGGCATGTGAGTAGTGTGAACCTTGTTTTAAAGCAGAATCATGCTTCTGAGGGACTCCTGGGAGGCAAGATTCTGCTTTAAAACATGGTACACGCACCTGTGTGCCTTGTTTTTAAATTAATTTAGTTTTAATTTCGCCAGCCGGGCAGCAGAAGTAAGGCAACATCAGATGGAGCTAAGCATGCTTTTTAAGCAGAAATGAATGGAGCTAATGTTCAGATAAATGAACTTTGAAGTCTACCAATAAAGGAGTAATGGGTCATCTGTGGCTCACCAGATCCATGTTGCTTACACTGACATTATTACACCAGCATAGTACACCATCGGTATTCCAGCTCTGGGGTATGCCTTGTAACCTGGATGAAGCACTGAAATTGAAGTTTGTTGTTATTGTGTGCCTACAAGTTATTAAGTTTATGGCAAACCTAAGGCAACCCTATCAGAGGGGTTTTTTTCCTTTATTTAAAAATTTCAGAAGGAAATTTGCCATTTCCATTCTCTGAGACTGAGAGAGTGTGACTTGCCCAAGGTCACCCAGCGGATTTGCATGGCTGAACTGGGATTTGAACCGTGGTCTCCAGAGTCACAGTCCAATGCTCAAACCACTACACCACATTGGCTCCATAGCACACAGAGTAAAAGCCAATGAAACTGGATTGCAGGCTACAGGATGTAATCAATTGATGGTGGTTTTGAGTCCTGTTAATATTAAGGGACCTCCAAAGGGTACTTCACTTTCTGTAGATTGCACCAAGTGTGCAGAAGTTGCTCTTATCCCTTAAGCAATGTGATAAGAATGGTCTCCGCATCAATGAGTATGGTGTACGGAGAGTAAAGTGTGCTTTGAGGCCCACTCCTACCAGTGAAACTGAAGTACCTAGCCTTATCTGCTCTGCAGCTTTTCCTGGGGATCAAGTTATTTGTTCTTTGAACTAGCCTTTTGAAACGTTTGCTTATAGAGGACACAGAGTTTCCTGACCTATGCATTCTCTCAGTGACACCTCAAATTGAAGGCTAAAAGAACAGACACCTGTAGCAAAAGTAGAGAAACCAACTGGGCTGGGATGGACTCTGGGAGAGTCCTAGAGACATTGTGTTCCGTCCCTGTTGTGTGTATGCAGTGCGGGTGTGTTTATTTTTCCCGTGTCAGCTGACCTTGTTTTCCTGAACTGTCCCTTCGTTCATGGTCTCTCCACAGCTGTGCTGACTCATAGCCTTCTTCCCCCCTTTTTTTATTTTTGCAGAAAAGTGGTGCCACTCAATGCAAAGAAAGGACTTGGGCATCACCATCCCTCATTCTCACAAATCATGTAGTGATGTCTCTTCAGCTACATGGAATAAGCTTTCCTTCTCACTGCTAGGGGAGTATTTCCTTTGCATGAAGACAGGATGGACCAGAGTTCATACCTTCCAGTATTTTACAGATGAAAAATGGGACACCTGTGGCCAAGCAACATCAGAATATGGTCAAGATGGCATTACTTATTCATGATAAACATCACACAAGTTGGAGAGGCTGCAGCAGTTTACTTTTGCTTGGACCTACAGGGGAATGGATGGTTCCACTCCCCTCCTTTCCCCACTGCTGTGTTAACTGAGTATTAATTACTTTTGCACTTTGAACACAGTTTGCAACTGATGTTAGCTGAGGACAAAGGGCGAACGGGAGAGAGGAGAAAGAAACTGGGTAAATTTAAAGACTGGTCCATTTGGAGTGTTCCTGCCCAATTGGCACAGGTGGAGGGTATACAGAGCTTGAAAATATTACTTTTTAAGGGCTATAACTCCCAGAATCCTCCATATACCCCAGAATTCTAGTAGCTGTAGTTGAGCTGTAGTTGCTTTCCTTCATTGAGCAAAATGATTGACCACGGTGGGAGCACACATTGACCATGTCTGTGTGACGCAGTTGCTGCAGTGGCAGATAAATAACCCTAACTCAATCACTGGGCATCAGCAATAGCATTAGCACAATATACTACACTTAAAGCATCCATGCAGAATGTTTGGCAGCCCACCAACAGCATCCAAACTCAGATTTCAAACATTGTTAGCCAAGTTCATTGTTCTATCTAATCAAGCACTTTAATGGCTTAATAAGCAATTGGCTATAATTAACAACATTCAAGGAGAAGCCTGTTATGATTTTGAAGCATGGCAAGAATGGTTCCCCATCACTATCGCCACCCCCATGTCTGGCCCAGGAGATGGAAAGTTCACTTCAATGAACAAAAATAATAATAATCAAGTCCTGATGCTAACAGCACCAGTTTCAGCGGAGATCATTAATAAAGAGCAGAGGCTCCAGTTGGTACAAATGTAAGGATAAAACTAAATCTAGAGACAGATGCCTAGAAATTAGAGCTGTGGGACTGAGTAACCAAAGCAGTAGTAGTGTATTACAAAGAAGAGAAATTAAAGAAATTAAAATGTGCCTGTTCTGAAAGATAACTTCATTGAATATCATCTGGGAATTCCACACTCTAACCCAGTTTCATCTTGCTTTTTTTCACTCATATATTTCTTGACTGGTGATATGGAGGCAGGAATATTTGAATGTGTTGAAGACCTGATGAGGAAATTAAATTAAAGTAAAATATTTCAGTGAAATGGTTACAGCAGGCTTGATATGACAAGGACCCTACGGAAAAGAAGGGAAGGCAAAATTAGAGAATTAAGTGTCTCTCTCTCTCTCTCTCTCTCACACACACACACACACACACACACACACAGAGTAACTGTATTGGTTGGAAAGTAGCTATTAAAATAAACAAAAAGTAGGTTTTGAAATAGTGATTTATGTCCACCATCCCAGAAATTCTGATAACACATTTGTAAGATGGACTGATCAAGACATGGAAATAGAGTCATACCCCCCTCCCCATACGCACGGATTCAAACATCAGTGACATGAAAATATTTTAAATATATAAATTCCAAAAAGCAGACCTTGGTTTTACCATTTTATATGAAGGACACCATTTTACTATGCCACTGTATTTAATGGGTCTTAAGTTTCTATGGATTTTGGTATCCATGGGGAGTCCTGGAACCAAACCCCAGCAGATTCCAAGGGCCCACTATATTACTTTTTTGGACCACAGTTCCCATAGCCTATGGCTGACATCATGGCTTATTGGCCAACTTGATTACTACAATTCTCAGAACTATATTATAAAAGAATAGCATTTCCAAGCTCTGTGGCTGAAATTATTAATGCTATACTGAAAGTCAAAGGCTCAAGGAGAAGCTTATTCAACAATTATGCTAAATATTAAGAAGTATGTGCATCCTCTTGGCACATTTTTCTCCAGCAATAGGATTTCCTTCCCCTTTGGTTAGGTTCAGTGTGGGAGATGCAACTGTCCAAAGTCTCCTGGAGGGCTAATGAAGCCCCCTAACCTCCCACAGTTGCCCACCTGTGATTTGGATAAATCCTGTTGATTCAATGGGTCTTCTCTAATCAGGAATCACAATAGGATTTAGACCTAAATATTAAAAAGAGAAAAGAGGAAAAGCAAAAGGGAATCTGTCTGGGAAGCTCTCTGCTTCTCTCATCTATTTCCACCTTCAGGTAAGACTTGTAGTAGGGATTTACCCACCCATATTATTAGCTCCTTCATTACACCAGCTCTCTATTATCTAGGTGTATAGCTGTATCTTCTCTGCATGTTTCAGTTTGTCCACCATAGAATTCCTTCTCCATAGAAGCCAATTCTCCTAAATGCAGAAAATCATCCCAACTTCTACAAGACTCCTCTTTTGGGTAAGGAACGGGGGTGGAAGAATGTAGAAGATTCAGGACAAATATCACATTTTGCTGGCAGAGCAAAGATCAAATTAATAGCGACTTAGAAAAATTTCTCATCTTGGTGATAAAGTGCATATTGTCATACTCCCAAGATCTCTAACATCACCATGTTAGGCTATTAGAGGAATATTTTAAGGCTGTACAAGCTGTGGAACCTACATAATTGTTGTTCTATATCCTATGCCATTGTTAGCTTCACTACATTATCTTGGCCAAGCTGGATATGGGATTTAGGCAGGTTTCATACATATACTGGATATATCCCCTTTTATTGATTTCCATTGGTTCTTCAGCATTCATAGACAACTCAAAGTAACACCAATGGCATTTAGCTGTTTGCAAGATACCTCACAAATCTCGGTGCAAAGCAGAAAGGATAAGGTTCACAAGCAATGTACAGGAACAAAAAAAGCCTTGTTGTGGTGGTAAAACCTTTGGGCCTAACTGATTTTATCCAGGATGCACATGTCTTACAGTTGTGCTATTTTAAAATGTTTTAACTGGCTTTAAATGATCCGGTTTTAATTGATAAACTATTTAATATCTTTAAAAATTATTGTTATTAACATTTTGAATTTATTTTATTGTGAACTGCCTTGAGATCTTTGGATATAGGGTGAGATATAAATATTTCAATAAATAAACAAAATAAAAATATAATAATACAACTTTGCTGGTACAGTGGTACCTCTACTTACGAAATTAATCCGTTCCACAGCCCA